TTTGAAATGCCTTGCTGCTGAAATGTGCTATACAAATTAAATTTGATTGATGATCCTACAGTCGAGCCGCCCGCTTTATGAATGTGCCTTATGGAGAGAAAGCATCTCTATTCTGTAAATGTACAACTTATAAACATTGATTTCTCCATTTAGAATAAACGCCCACTTTCCCCACTCAATGTTCTCTCCGACTGTCTGTCTTTAAATCCAGGCTGGACGCTCTGCTGTTCAAACAGGCATTTGCACGATCTCTTTATTTTCTTTTTTTTATTTGGATTTTCTCTCTTTAAAATGTATTGTTTTTATTTTTGTGAGCTTTATGAGCCCTGAAAGCAGCTTTTAAATAAAATATATAATTATCATTATAAATACTTATACTGCTACAAACAAGGACGTTGCCATGGTTACTGCTTGGTAGCAAACTTCCAGGTATTTATACTAATTTACATATGTATTTATGGGTGGCGACAGGGCGGACCAGCAGCTGTTCTCTATTTCCCACAAATTGGGATTCATAAAGGAAAGATGCACGACCACGGCTTAATACTGTAACGATTCTTTGTTTTACTTCTGCTGGGGTCCATATGGTTATGTGTATATTTGTTATAAGTTGCATTGTAATCTTTATTGTTATGTGTAGAGTTTTATGGGCTTCCCCTGTCTCACTCTGCTGACTCCCTGATCAGGACCAGGACTGGAAGAGGAGGGAGTTCAGTGTGTTAGCAGTGAAGTTATTCAGTAGAGTGCAACGGTTTGTTAGAGGCGTGAGCTGCAGCTTCAGGAATGGCAGCTCGTACTTATTCTAATAAACTCTGTTGGCGGGATTACATCTGCGGTGTGTTGGACCTCATTACAATACATCTAAATATTTTTGTGCGCCGCACTTTTCAAAAATTTTCCATACGCTAAGTTTTAGTGTGAAAACTGCGCAGTCTTTTATGCATGAGGCCCCAGGACATTCAGCCTGTTGCGTAAGTATGAAACATTAAGTGGCGTTGTCAGTAGCTTGGTGACACAGAGAGAGAGAAAGAAATGGTTTTCAGTTGTACTTAAATGGTTTTTCCCTTTGCTGTGGAGCACAGCACTAAATTAATAATACCTACAATTCCAAGTTTTATTGAGTTAACAGAATTATTCTACTACAGCAGCGCGGCTATGAATGACAATGCACTGGATTTGTGGGCTCCAGCGTTACAACAACATGCAGGGGGTCTATATTTATAAATCCGATTATGATTAAGTCAGTGCCTCACCAGCTATGAACCTCAACAGATAGCTGAGGTTCATAGATATGCTGAACCTATAGCATAGCTATATTAGACAGACAGATACCCAAGTTAACTTAACCACAAACTCTGATTCTAAGGTTTGTTCATGTAAACATGTGATGGACAAGTAATAAATTGAACTCACATGAAAATATTTGGGAGAATGTTATATCACAATAAAAAACTAATTTTCATTACAAGAAGCATGCCAAATGTTGCCTAGGAACACGTTTCAGAAACCTGATTAAGGACTCTAAAAATAGAGAAAAATAAAAAGAGTGCTTACACATTCCCAGGGAACTCAGACGAGGGACGCCAAGAAACAACCACATCATTCTAGAGAAGGGAAAAAAAATACACACACTGGGAATAAATTCCAAGTGAAAGGTTTTACTATCAATAACTATTATAGGTCAATATAATAAAGTTAATGATTTTTACGCAAAATCAACAAGTCGGGCATCACCTAATTATTGGGAATTAATAGCCAAATAGCTCACAGTTCTCAAAGCAAGACTTTCTCTTGTGGTGTCCTCTCTCACTAGACAGTGTGTGGATGGCCTGATAGGCAGATTTACACATGCCAGGTTTTCTCCATCTCATGATGGATTTAACTGAATTCCAGGAGATGTTAGGACCTAAGGATATGGTTTTTGTATCCATGACTTAAAAAACCTTTTTACTAGTTAGTTGGAGTGTTTGTTAGTCATCACACTGTAATGATAGCCAGAAATACTGATGAACCAGTTAATGGACCTTCCAGATACAGGTGCCTTTATACTGCAGTGACTTGAGCCACTCTCACTGCACTCAGGTGATATCCATTCCACTCGTGACACTGTTAGCATTTGGATGGCACTCTGTTGATCTAGCTAAGTCACTTTAAGAAGAATATGATCTCTCTATTTAATATTCTTAAAATTTAGTTTAGCTTCCCTTTATTAGAATTTAAGATTCTCCTTATCACATATAAAGCTCTTAATAGTAAAGTTCCATCATACATCAGAAGTCTGATTGTTCCACATGCTCCTAACAGAGCACTACACTCTCAGACTGCAGGTTTACCGTTTCTAGAATTTCTGAAAGATCTTTTAGTTTTCAGGCTCCTTTCCTGTGGAAGCATCTCCCAGTTTTAGTCAGTGAGGCGGACATCCTGTCTACTTTTCTGACTAGGGTTAAAACTTTTTTTTCTGTAGTTATGCTGCCATAGGCTGAGACTACTGGAGGATAAGCTGAACACTTTTTCTCACTTTCTTATACTCCTCTCCAATTTGCATTATTTGAGGTTATTTCAAATGTTGGCTTTTAGTTTTCTCTCATTTACCTTTATCTGTAGAAGCTACATCTAGTCTGGCATTTTGATTGGTTCTGGTACCTCCCTGGAGAGGGTCATCGGCTGAGATAATGCTGCTATGAACGAACCGTTGTCTCTCTTCTGCTATTAACATCTCACTTTCACAAACATCAAAAATAATCCTACCTCAGTTCATCTGTTTCTTTTTGTGCATTCC